CTTAATTTAGGTGATTTGATGAAGTATTATCTGGTTATCTGAAATACTTCCTGACATAACTAAAGTGAGAATAAGTGTTTTAAACTCCTGTGTCTTTATACAATCTCCTATGTATATCCTTTGTGCTTAGTGATTTAGCGCTGTTCAACAACTGAGGCTCCTTACAAGAGCCTCTCTGCCTCTCTTGGTGCCAGCGGATCCAGTCCTAATCCCAGTCCAGGTATTGCTTTTTACTGGAACAGCTGGGGTTGTTTGTTTGTTCGGTGTTTTTTTCTTGTTTTGTTTTGTTTTTGTTTTTCTTTTTTAAAGAATATTATTTTGATCTCAGGGAGCTTTTTGGTTCTTGGTTTTTTGAGGCTGTTTTTTTCCTGTTGTTTTGGGGTTTGTTTTTTTTTTTGTTGTTGTTGTTGTTGTTGTTTGTTTGTTTGTTGTTGTTGGGTTGTGGTTTTTCTTTTTTTGCCTGTTTACATGTGTCAGACTGTATTTATGGCCTCAGTTTTAAGTGTCCTAGGACAGAATAACCTTTCCATGTTGTCATCCCTCTAACACCTCTCGAGTACCTTGCAAATGGCTAGAGGAGCACTGGGCACAACATCTATAACATGAGCTCACTCAGCACTGCTGTTGTCCTCATTGCACAGTCCAGCCAGCCTGCACATTGATGAGAGTCAGGCAGTGCCCCTCGCCTCCCAGTTCCTCTCACACAGTAAACAAAATAGGGGAGGCCTGGGGTGGCACCAGGGGCTGGACCTGAAGCACTGATTATGAAGATCTGTACTTCTTTCCCAGGCATTTCTACATTTCAGTCAGATAATACTTGAAAGGATGGGTAAGGAGCCTTGAAAATTTTTAATAAAATGCTTGATGCTTGTTAGAAGAATTGTCCTTGCTTTCCCAGAAGTCTGTTTCCAAGGCATACTGATACGACAGGTCAACACCACCTCCTGTTTCCTGGGTAAAACACCTGTGCTGGCATTCCCCATTGAGCCTGTAAGGAGGCAAGACTTCAGAGCCACCTCCCAGACGGCGGTACTGCTCTGGCCATCATAGCCCTGTGGTTGGCTAGAGGCTGCCTGCATTGGTTGACAAAGAGCTCTGTGTTGTGGTTCTCTGACATCCTCTGAAACCAGCCTAAGATGCCTAAATTACAGATGAAAAATAAGCAACATCAAGAGGAATCTCTCTTCACAGTTTGGTTGGTTGGTTGTTTTTTTTTTTTTCTTTTTTCTCCTTATCCACTGAAGTTCTGCCAAAGTACATTTGGTCATTCTTCTCCACCTTACGTGGAATTTGGGCTGTTTGCATATTCTGACTCTTAGCCTGTGATAATGTCATCCATGATGAGGTCTATAAGAGGATGTGTTTCTGCTGCAGAACCAGGCAATTGTTGCTGCGGAGAAAAAGCTCTGTAGTAGGTAGTAAGTATTACACAGGAACTTGCTCTTCTCATTGCTATTCAGAAGCCACTTTAAGAAGTTACAGACAAAACAGATCAACTTCAGGATTATGTTGGCACTTATTGACCCTGTGCTGTATTAATGAAGGCTTTTTATTGCAGCAGAAGGGCTTTTTATTTTTTGCAGGAGCATAAAATGCCTCTGGCACAGCTACCCTATAAGCATGAAAGCATGGAAATTAATCTTCATTTCAGTTCGTCCTTCGTGAAATTTACTTTAGTTGTTAAATTTTGTCCTTGAATAATTTTTTTGTCTTAATTGTTCAGAATGAATGCTTAAAATTTATCTCACTCTATGATACTTCAGTATCTCCTTTCATAGAATAAAATGTTTGTGATTCTCAGCCTCTTTGTTTAGTTCTAAGTCACAGCACTGTTTTTAAATCACCTGTCATCGGTTGCTGCCTTCTATTTCACCACAACATTCTAGAGACAAATAGACGTAGAAATATTTTTATATAAATCCTGCAAAAATGTCCTTCTTTCATATTTATAAATGTGAATATGAATATTTATAGCAGTATTTCCCCTCTAATTGTTAGTTCTTTTTCATAGCATTATAATATATGAAGTTACTAGAAACATGATGCCAGTATGATAGTCCTAAACCAGTTTTTAGTCCCCTTGAATTATTTTAATGTCATGTCACTGAAATTCAGAATTTTACAGTAAATATGCCAAATAACTTGTAGCTACTGAATCTGAAATAGAAAGAAATCAGCAATGGGAAGAATTAATTAAGAGGAGTTAAGTGTTAATAATGCTTAAATTCAAACTGAACTACTCTAACAAATTAAGAAACAGTACTTACTCTATATCTGATGACAAATAAATACTCTTTCTCCACTGTGTTGAATTTTTTTGAGGAATTACTTTCCTAAAGTAAGTTTTACACCAAATATACGCAGGTCTGTGTTAGCAACTGCATTTGGATAGTGCTTGTACCAAAGTTTGCTGATGACTTATTCAGTGTTTAAATACATCGTTTCATAAAGAATATTGTGTTTTTTCAACCAAACATAATTGTGGTTATCCAATCTAAAATGCCTAGAACCAAATAAATAAACCTCATTCACTCCATTGTAATAAAAATAAAACCATTTTACAGCAGGACGGAGTAATTCTTTGCTGGTGATTGATCTGAGTCATAGAATTACTTGATTGTGAATCCGGACAAATTCTATTCATCTGGCCAGTTGTGGATTCACAGATTGACAGTAATAGAAATCTGCCATATTACAACTCTATGTGTTACACAGTTACCATCTTTTTAGTAACATGGATGCATGCAATGATTTGCCCTGCTTACAAAATGTTTGCAAGCATATGTTTCAGAGGTGAGGATAAAGGGCACATAGTTTATTATGTAATTACTATGCACACAGAACTGCTGCTTGATTATGGGGAAAGTTATTATTCTGCCACAGCTGTTATGCCAGTGGGCTCATTTTGATGATGCGTTGTCTTAATGTATTAGCTTTAACCTTTAAAGATTTGATTTAAATCCTGACTGTGCTTCACAGGCAAAGAGATATGTATTCATTTCCAAGTTCTGAGAAGACGTTTTTCCACATGACAAAGGCTTTGTGCATGTCTGCTTGATTAGTTATTGTTGCTTTAGGGTATGTGGTTACACATACTTTTGCAGATATGGGTTAACACGTATGAATAATGTAGATTCTTGTTCACTATTTTCCTGTTATATGCTGCTTACAGCTATATCTTAAGTATGAAAATTCCACTTTCATGAAACTATGCTATTATTTTCTCCCTTTGAAGAATCATACAGTAGTAAATGTAGGATACAACAGAGGACAGTCAATGGAAGCTTGCCAGCTGCCATACGGTGCTAATAATGGTAATGGCATGCTGTATTGTAAACTCAGGATTTACAGCAGTTTATGCATGTATACACTGTGACCTTACATTGCTGTCAAAATTTATAATCATCACATCAATTTATAGAAGAAATTATTAAGTGTTAAGTTTTTTATACACTGAGAACATTTTGGACAGTCTGGGTCTCAAATGTTGTAATATGTCCATCTGGAGCAATAGATTAATACAACACCACGTGTTAAGTAGGGGTCAGGGCAAAGATTGTATGTTCTCAGGAGCCATTTTAAAGTCAAGATTAAGATCTGCTTAATTGAAAGGAATCAGAAATTGATATTATCCAAAAAGCGCTTGGGTTTTTTGTTGGTGGGGTTTTTTTGAGATGAAGAAACCAAATGTATTTTAAATATATGGCAGTATGCTCTGTATTCGTGACATAGTGTGTTGTATGTAGAAATGCATGAAAGTAGTAGTGAGGATAAAAGTTATATCATGGAATATATTGTGTAAAATACATGCTTAATCCATCAGTAAGTGTCACATGTACAGGTTTACACAAAGTTACAGAGAAGATCTAGAGAGATATGGGGCAGAGTTACATATGTGCACATAAAAGTGGGAATGGTGCGTAGACTGTGGTACTCTGAACTTTCATGGCATTTTCTGCAGTACTGTTTACATTAGTCTGGTCTATATTACATTTAGCTCTGAAGTATGAATGAGCAGGAGAATCAGTCAGTCTTTCAGGAAACATTAATTCATCTAAATATCACCAGCTTCATTTTTAGTTTAAACAACATAATTTACTGCATCACTGAGTTCAATAGGTAATTGACCATATTACTTTCTTCAGTTACCACATTACTAGTTTTGGGCAAGGTAATGAATCTTTACTTACTGCCAAGTACTGCTTTCTGTGAAATTATTGTTCATGATGTTGTCATGCTACACATGTACATTTACTGTGAGTTTTATCAGCCCTTTAGGACTTGGTTTCAGGACTCAGGAGCTGGATAACCAAATGCAGCTGAGCCCCTGAAGGGAGGCTGCATCTTATTTCCTTTGAGATCTTAGCCATGTCATGGTGTTTCATTGTAGCAGCAGCCAGCACCCCATTCTGGCTTTGTCTTCTGTAGGAAGTTGAAACAACTTCCTCTTAGGCCACAATGGCTAACGTGATTTTGACTCATGCAATTTCTGTCCTTCAGTCTGTTGGTGTCAAGTGCTGCTGTATTTGAAAGGCTGAGCTCCTTGAACTACCACCTCAAAGCTCTGGTGCTTGGCACAGTTCAGTCATTTGGTTCATGAATTTGAGGTGGAAGATGCTGGCAAAGGCAGCTAGTTGCCTCCTTTAGTGGTGGAGTAGGAGCTTAAAAGGAAGCAGTTGAAGGTTACTTATTTTACAATTGTTTCAACTCTCAGTTTCTTCTTGAGACATTGTCACGTGACCGTGGCCAAGTTTAGGCAATTACTATTTGCTCAGTGGTATACTCGGTACACTTTGAACAAATATCTAATGGAGCATAGAGTGAAGTGCTATGCCTCTTGCTTGGCTGTGATCCAGTTCTTCAGGCAGCTACATTAGGGCAGTCTCAACTGATTCGGTATTGAAATCTCAACGTATTATTTTTAATTAGTTTATATGTTTAAAACCTGAAAAATACATCTGAGTAATTCTAAAATGTTCATCTCATCTTTGCTTCCATAGTACCAGGATACGAATATGCAAGGTGTAGTGTACGAATTGAACAGCTATATAGAACAGCGCCTGGATACAGGAGGAGATAACCAACTACTTCTGTATGAACTGAGCAGCATCATTAAAATAGGTAAGAAAGAGTATCAGATGTATCTGAGCTGTTTACTCAGTATAAGTGCACAGCATGTTTCTTACAGGGCTTAATTAATAAAGACAGGTATTGAAGGATAACAGTGTTTTAATTTCCTATATAGTGCTCATTTACCTCATAACTCAGTGTACTAACTACAGCTGAAGGATTTAAAATCTGAATGCAAATTACTGTGCCCTGAACTCTCACTGGTATTACACAGTTGACAATAAGCAAGTAACTAAACAGTGGGTTTGTTTTTGTTTTTTTTTTTTCTTTTTGTCAAAGAAATGCAGAAAGCCAATTGTTTTGATCACACATACGTATAATCACTCCCCTGAAATGTGCTAAATGGATTCTTGTGTTCATTCATAGAAACTGGATATCAGATATGTTTATTAACTAGTTAGAGTGTTTATTAACTGTTGGAAAGAGACAGATTTTGACTCAAAGTATCCAAGTCTGTTGTGTAAAGCAGGATAAAAAGCACTGACTGCTATGTCCCCTTCTGATTTTGAGAGTTTTCATTTTAGCAATAAGTTATGGTGTTTTGTTGTCTTTAAACTTTTGAGAGTTTAAGGAACTTGACTTTACCCTGTTTCATACAACAGTTTGAATCTGGTAGAATTCTGACAAGTATAGCCTTTCTGGTGTGTGTCAGTGTTTTTAATATAGGGCAAGTGCAGAAAATAGAAGGGGTTTGTTTTGAAAAGTGTTTTTGTGGCAATATTTGCAAAATTTTATTTTTCCATAATTTTCTGTATTAAGGCAAAGACAAATATAGCTTACCATCTGTGAATGGTATTTATTTTACTCATGGTAATTATATTGTTATCTGACTGATTATATTGTAAATGCATGTTCTTATGTTTACTTATGTTACTTCTATACTGTCATATGAATTAATTTGAATTTACAGACCTTAGGCATTGGAATAAGAATAAGATGTATGAACAGGTTGTTTCTAATTATCTTTTAGAATGTACTAAACAACAATGGGGAAAACAAGAATTATACCTCTAACTTTGTAGAGTCTGGGAAGTTTCAAGGGATACAGCAATAGACCTGCAGATTTAAGACTTTAGATGTTTGTCCTAAGTGAAATTGAATCTGTCGTTTCACATGAGGGATCTTGTATAAGTTCTGTTTCCCCTGTGAGTAAAATTATTTCTTTTGTTATTGTTTTGGCAGCTACAAAAGCTGATGGATTTGCACTATATTTCCTGGGAGAATGCAATAATGTAAGTATGCTGGATTAAGATACTGCTTTTCTGTAGAGTTACAAGTGCATTTTCCAATTTGACAATGATATTTTGATTTTATTTTGAATGTCATTTAGCAGGAAATACTACCTGAGTGCTGAATATTAGCTTTATGTTATCTTTATTTCTGTAAAACAGAAGTGAACATAGTGGTAATGAAAAAATGGCATTACATTTTTTTTTAAAGATTTGGCAATATTGCTCTTGTTTCACTGAGTGTAGCAAATTAACTTGCAACTTAGCCCCATTATTAATTGTCTTTAACAAACAGAAAACTTGACTTGGATTTACTCTCTTCATAGCTATCCTTTTCATCTAGTTACCTCTCTGATTTTTTCAAAAATGTTATCAGGTCTTCTGTTAACTGCCAGCTGCAACTTGATAGTGTAATAACATAAATTTCAGATATAGATTTTAGTTAACATAAAGTAAATTGTACATTTAAAATTTATCAATGAAATTAGTTTCAGATGTAATAATTTGAGTAACAGTGAGTCCAATATTTGTTGTTTTGGTTTTTGTCATTTAGAACGCGTTACATTTTTTTTCTATCCAGATATTTGTACAGTTACTGTTCTACAAGATTTTGTAGTTACTTTGAATGACTAGCAAGAAGGAAATGCAGTTTATACTTCAGTCAGTTCCATCAACTTACAAATCACAATTTGTCAGAAATTTTTTGTCTTTCATTGACTCAGAAAACAAATTAAACTCTTCTTACTGAAAACTGACTAGACAGGAAAATATTTTTATCATTGGTTTTGTTTCCTTACTTTACACAGCCAGTTTTAATAGTTTATTTTTGTGTAGTCCATTAGCCAAATTCCTTTGCTTTTTGTGAAATAATTGAATTCAGAAAAAGGGAAAGAATTACATTTTTGAAATAATGAAAACAGGATTGAAGATGTACAAACCTGCAGGTGACTTGAGCCTTGCCTGTGAGTATTTTTTACTTATTCAAAAAGATAGTGTCTGATTTGAAGGATGTGGAAGAAGGCCCATAGAGGAATTTCCTGAAAGAAATGGAAATAGATTTTGCATTTTTTTTCATTTAATGATTATTTCATATAATAAAGACAAATCATTTTATTATTCATAAATTGGGTCTGCTCTGAATGAGTTCTGTAAGTATGTAAATAGTGTATATTTTTTAATAACCCTTTCACTGAGGGGTGTAATTTAAGTAAGATGTTGTTCACCTGTTGTGAATGCAATCTTTGGTTCTCATTAGTAGGTGACAGTGTCCAGTGTCATGGGTGAGGGGTAATGCAAATTGTCACTGAAGAGCTTCCTCCTGCTGCCAAAGGCCAGCGCCCGCAGGAAGTGCAGCCATCCGTTCCAAATGCACAGCGCTGGCCGGCTTCAGTGGCAGTGACTGTGTGCCAGCTGAGCATTCATCTCTCAATGCTTTGTAAAAGATTACAGTCAAATTAACTTTACAGCTTGAGATCTAGAGAATTCTTACTATGATGAGGTTTTTCCTATTAGATGAGTGTGGCATAATGCGGAGTTCCCCACAGTCTTCTGGTACCTTGAGTGCCTGGGCACTTTATGACCTTCTGCATTTTCTTGGGTTGTTTTTTTTGGTTTTTTTTTTGTTTTTTTTTTTTAATAGTCTATCAGTCAGTCAGGCAGTTGAATTTATTTGCTTCCCAGTATAACTCTTTCCTGAAAAAAGTTCCAAGTACTAAAAACACACATTGACTTTATTAACTGCTGCTATGTAGCTCCATCTCCCAAAATGGAATGTTCTTTATGTAGTTATTATAGCGACTCATCCCAAGTCCTTTGAAGTTAGTGTGAGATTTTCCATTCACATTAGTGGGCTTTGGGCCAGATTCATGTTTGTAGTCATGTATCTAAATGGTAATGCATTAGCCTACTTTTTGTAAGAAATTGTCATTGAAAATAGATTTGGATATCTTGGTCTCTTGAATATTTAATTTAAAAGGTGTGTCCAAGTGGGATTAACCATCATCCAGCAAATACTGGCAATGTATTTTTTTTTTTTATTAAATAGCTTTTTTAAATGGGAACAAAAAGATTCTCCATTGTATAAATGGCAGAAAGGAGCTAATTCTTTAAACTGAAGTTTCAAAAATGATTAAAAACCCCTTATCATTACCCTGGACAAAGTAGTTGCTGAATGCCTATAGCCATATATTGAAGAATGGCTTCTATTTTTTGGTGGTTTAATTTTTTGATTCTTGGTTTGTGAGTTATATTTTGCAAACTCAGCAAAGCTATTTTTTTTTTCTTTTTAATTTTAGCATTTGGGTGTTTGTTTGTTGGCTTGAGAAATATACATAAATGTGCTTGTATTTATCCAGTCAGCAGCCTCATGTTTCAGAGCTAGACCTGATGTAACAGTTATTTTCACCATGCTTTCAAGGAAATAATTTGTGCCTGAATACCACTTTTCTGGAGAGTGTGTTTATGTCTTTTTGAGAATTAGGTACTAGGAGGAGGATTGTGTAAGAATGGAGGAATCCTGCTAATGCTGCGGAAGCTCTCTAAATAAACAGGACAAATACTTAAAAATAAAATTTACTTTAAGTACAATCAATTGGAACTCCAGCAATCATTGATAAATGACAGATTTAAATGTCTGTGAGAGGAAAATTATTACTGCACCATCAATTCAAGACATCCCTAGGATTTAATCACAATCCAAAATGCACCATCACTCACCTAAAATTTAGGGCGCTCAACCTCAACTTTTCCTTGGGTGGTGTCCTGACCCAAAGAGACAATCCTCAACCACAGGCATGCTGCTCCAAAGAGGACTGGCTCAAAACTGGCTCACCCAGGGGACCTCATTTATACCCAAGCTGAATCTGGTCTGTGGTCAATATCAGCTCTTTTTGGCTGAGGGTCCTAACTGGGCCCATAAATACCAGAGAACAAGGGCATGAAAAAAGAATCAGCAGCTGCTATGTCTCAACAGCCAGGAAGGTCTGTCTTCATCAGGGTAGGTGCTCCTGCCACAGTTAATAAGAAGATACCTACTTTCTCCCAATAGCTTTTGTAAAGTTTAGTGAAGTGTGTTCTGACTATATTTTGTAAGGGAACTTAGGATCAAAATGGAGACAAAAGCATTAACTCTACTTTGTTTCAGCTCTGGTTATAAATATGTATAGGTATACTTGTACCTCTTTAAAGAATTCCAAATTTGAGAATCTTGATGTGTTAACCTCAGCTAAGAAACACTTTTGCAATATGAGATTTCCATAAGTACCTTTAGCCTAGATAAATAATGAATTTCTAATTAGGAGAGACGATAACTTCCTTTTACAGAAATTCTAGATATTTACAAATTGAAAGCCAGCAAAAGTTTACTGCATACTGTATGCTATTATTTCTTAATGCTGAGAGAAGAGTATTGCTATATCATAGCAATTTATATTTTTTTCATGGGTTACTAAGAACTCATTGTGAATCTTCCTTTGGTGCAATTTTTAATATGAACAGCACTTCTTTACATGAAAACTATATGAGAACTGAAATCAAATTTGTTTAATATGAAGAAGGACTCTAGATTAGCTGGTCCTTTTTGCAAAACATGGATGATATACTGGACTTTAAAAGACGACCTTGTTTTAGAAAAAATTCCTTTGTATTTTAACAGCACAAATGTGAGTTTGTTGAAATACCTGACCATACAAAAAGTTTCTTTATGGCCTTATTTTCTTTTTCTCTCTTGAAGTATACAAAATTATATCTTGATTTGTATTAGAGTTGGATAACAGCATAAGGACAAGGTAATTTCTGGCTGACAGGTCAGGTCAAATGCTTTCAGGAACTTTACTTGAGTGAATTTAATTGAAATAGAAGATGCCGCACCAAGTGCAGGCTACAGTGCATTTCTTTATGCAAATGTTACTCAGAATTTGTGCCAGAATGAGTGTGGCCAGTTCAGTTATTTTAGAAACCTTCTGGTTGTTCAAATTACTTGGGAACACTAGCACTTGTTGCGCTCCTTGCTAAGGGTGTTCTGATGGCGTGATTCTGCTTTTCAAATAATTGCTGCCAGGCAGGTAAGTACCACTCTTGTGCCCAACTCTTCCTTCCCCATAAAATTGCCCTGTGTATCAGAATCTGGTTTTGCACATGCTATACTTATGGTAGAATGTGTTGCAAAATAGTCAGGTACTAGAAACACTATAACTTCCTCATCAGGGTCAAGTGATCTGAACAGACCTGTTCCCATACTGCCTCTGGTTCTTCAACTTTCTCCATATCTAAGAAATTATCTTTGTCCATGGGTTAGTGCAGTTATGCATATAAAATTATTTATTCTTAAGGTACATAGCAGCCATTTTGAAAATACTATATATTGGAGACCAGAAACACTTTCAAATCAAAAAGGAATGTTTCACAATTCGCTAGCGAAGGACTTGACTTTATTTCAGTTTTATGTTTTATTCCTTATGTGGAAGAATATATAGTTGATAATTCTCATGATCTTAATTGAATATCACCTTCAAACATGACTTAAAGGATTTACTGAAATCCTTGTATTGGATGGTGTGTGTGTGTGTGTGTAAATCAATGTGCCTAAGTACCATGCTAGCTGGGCATGGATTTAAGCCCATAAACTGATATCTTTATAAAGCAACATCTCTAAAGTCCTTATCACAGCTACAGAGCTTTTAATATATTATTACATTATCTGATTCTTCAGATGCTTCTTGTTTATAGTCCTTATTTGTGTGAGTAATTCACCTCATGATTACATTGTGATTCCTATGTAAAGATGTATGACTTCGAATTTAATAGGCATACACTTAAAGTAGCTTTCACTAGGTCTTGTGAGCATTACTTAGTTCCTGAAACTGCAAATTGTGTTGACAAACAAATCATCCTTGCTTCAGATAGAAGTTTCCAATAACTTGATTGTAAGAAATAATTATGTGAGGCCACAAATATGTGCACCTACTCTGTGCTTCAGGGTGTATTTTATTAAGCTATTCTAGAAT